GCTTTTGCAATATCGCGTACACATCGAATGAAGGAAATATTTAACTTCAACCTTAGAGGCGACAATGCTAATAAATTGTTAATATTTTACGTTATTATTCATCGGCTTCAAATCATTTTATTGTTAATTAATCGGTATTTAAAAGAGATAAATGTCTCGCGGACGTCCACAAAAAGTCTTTAATGAAAAATTTCTGCAATATCGTGTTCTGAATAAACATTCGTAGATACACAACTTTATGTAATATTCTTTTCATTGCATCGCAAATACGTTATTGTGAAAAGTTTCTATTTTCGGCGCGATAGTTTCGTAGTGGTCAAGCTGGAAAATGGAGCAGAAGTTTGTAGCGTCCGAATTTCTCGCAACTATAGTCCGCAAACGCTTTTCAGTACGCTTTTGCACGAGCAGGTAAAATTACTGATAACAATATAGTTATCAATTTGATGATTGTAATATTGGGTTGCACTTTGAAATTCCGTATCTTTAATTTTCTATAGGAAATCTGAAGAAATAGCCTTTGCGGAAAGATTTACTTATAAAAACATTTCTTGTTAATTACTTATTTTTGAAAAATTCAGAGAAACGTTTTTTTATAAAGTGAGTTTCAAATATATATTAAAATTTAATTAGCAAGTAATGCAATAATATATATGAATTTATAAGTTGTTTAAATTTTGGTAACTAAAATTTAGCAAAAAGAAGAGAAATTGCATGAATTCTTAGAGAGAATCATCTATATCTTGATTATAATAATTATTGTTAATGCAATTGAATTTAAATCAATTCAAATAACATTATTTTACATAAATATATTTTTTAATATATTAAACAGAAAAACAATATTGAAATTTTTTAGCATTCTAATGCAACAAAGTAGAAAGTATTAAACTGTTTTATAATTATATCATGATTATTTTTTTGTATTATGTTTATATTATCATTATTTGTACTATAAAGTTTAATTTTTTCATACTATTTCGTTACGTCAATTTAACAGTTTATTTCTGAATTATGTGTAATGTATGGTACATGTGTGCATGGAAGTGTATAATAATTTTCAGCGATCGTAATTTACACATCGCAGAAAAAATATTATCATTAAATATTTAAAAATATATTAAATATATATTTTATAAGGAGAATAATGAAAAAAGACATTGAAAAAGAAGAAATCCGTTTCCTTTTATATTGCGCGTTTTATCATTTGTAGAACGATAAAAAATATGCGACATAAAAATAAATTTGTACAAGTTAAAAATCCAATAGAAGTATGAAAAAATATTACACGTAATATAAATTTACTCAATTATAGATACTAAAAAATTCATTGTTCTTCGCAATAACAGTCAAGTTACGTTTTATAAGAAGAATAATTCAAATCGAAATTATATTTCTGAACGCGACTTTACTACGCTCGATTTCTCTCTTACAATAAACCTGCGACATCAAGTGAATTCAATGATCTTGTTTCGTTCGTGTTCTTTTGTGAAAACGTTTTTCTACGAGTTATTTTCAGCAAAACTTTTAAGCTCTTGTATTATGTGTTAGCGTACATGTATGTCTACGTGTACAGAATCAAAGGGCTTGGAAAGGAGTGAAGGAGAGGTAAAGAGGGAAATGTATAGGATAGAAGTAGAAAGAGATCGGATTCAGAATAATATATTGTAAATTGAAAGAGCTAAAGAATGCACACAAACACACGTGCTAATCGAGTATTCGCAAGATTGTAAAATAGAGCGTAGTGAATCATGCAGTTGCGAGAATTCCAACGCGACGGATTACGCGACATATATATGCAGCTCGCTGACAAGGCGCACCTTCTCGTATCTTCGTGTAATTTAGCTAATTGAGGTGGGCAAACATGGGGCAGGCATGACGCCAGAGGATTCACCCATGATGCAGAAAAGTATTATTATTTTGCAAATTATTTTGCATATTGCGTTTGACTGAACCGTATAGAAGCATTAAAAATAAAACAGAATAATTAATGCACAATGTTTTTATCTGCTAGAATATCAGTTTCGTTTTAGTGATGATATTATATGTGATATTAAACTTTTTATTTTTTTTTACAACACATATAAGCTCTAATATCAGTATTACCGGATTTTTTCTTTGTTTAATTAATTAAAATCTTTATGTTTTCTGGGAATTTTTAATTTTTTCCATCTAACATATAAATTAAAAATGTATATAATAGAGTAAGAGATACAATATAATTATTATTATAAATAATTATTATATAATTATATATATCATATATATTATTATATAATTATTATTATAAATAATTAGATATCTGTCGAAATCTGTTGGTAATTGGGAAAAAAATCGCGATCTTAAATACGTATTGTGCGATGTGTATCGGTGGTCCAAAATCCAATATTTCTCACACGAGCCGTCATACACACGAAACGTTAATGGAACTGATGGTATCCGTGTGACAGTCTTCCGGTTGGAAGACGAATCTCTCGTTTTCGAATTCCGTTCACGACACGCGTGCTCGCAGGCGTGGGGCGACATATTCCGGTAGCTAACGTTCCGAGTTCCGACGTCGTTCGGCATCGGAACTTGGAACGAGCATCGAGATCGTTAGGAAATTAATTGCTTGTCACGTGAGAGACGACCTTTTGCAGCGGCGTAGATTCGATTTCGCCCGCTGACGTCATCGCGTTACACCTTTGCGTTTCATTATTGCCGGTATCGGGATACTCTTTAATTCAGGGAAATCGCAACGTGCGGTCGGGCGAACCACGTATCTTTCGCATATTTCACGACGCGTAAACATCGTTCAACCATATTCGACATATAGTTGCGCGCTTTCGTATCTCGCGATCGATCACCTAATATATCGAAAAAATGACGTGCATATCCGTATAATTTAAATTCTTATAAAAATATAATAAAAGGAACATGTTTTTGATTACACGAATAAATAACATTTTTTACATGACGCATCCTTACGCGCATATTTTATATATTAAATATGAAATATTCTCATTCGCGGATTTATTAAAAGATTAAAAGATTTCCGGTTATACGACATGTAGATCAACATATACATGTTTTCGCTTATGTTGTTGCATTTGATCTCATATCCCTTAGATCGCTTTGATAACGAGCAAATCTTTCCGGATCTGTAATTCTGGTTAAAATTGGATTCGTTCTTATACATGCTAATTCCTTTAACCCAAATACACGATAATCAGAGATATGTTCAATATTCCTTTAATGGCTGCCGGTCGTTAACCGGTAAAAAAAATTGTAAGAGGGTACTTCAATAGTTTGAAATAAGCAAGAAGCTTACGGTAGAATAAATATAGAATTGAATTCGAAATGAATAATCATATTTGTTTAATAAATGGAATAGAGAAAACGTTAATAAATATATATATATAACTGCTAAAATGTTTTGATTAAATTCAAATGGAGCAATAATCTTAATATTCAATTACATTTTATTAACTATGCAACTACATTGTTGAGTGTAGGGATTTTTACAATTATACTATAAAATTGTGAATGCAGGGGACTTAAAAAAATTTCATGTACAGTATTTAGAAAATATAAAAATGAAATATTCATTATATTTCTTCAATATGCTACGTAGATTTAAAATATATAATAAATTAAATATAAATAAATTTATTTCATATGCATTGCAGCGATAAAAAGCGCTGATAAATTATCTACTAGACTATCATATATTCAAGAATCCTTATTTTTGCAAAAAGAAATTAAATAATTTCTTTGAAGTTTTAAATTTCCAATCTATTTTTATTTTATCTTTTTTGGTTTAATTTAAAACTAGAGTTTCTTGCTGAATATTTAACTTTGAACTATTCTCCAATTTAACAGTAGAACGTGTCGTGATTCTTTGCTCAATATCGCCGTATTATCAGCAAGAAAGATTTGAGAATCACTGCCTTGGCGAAGGATTAGGAGCCGCGCAATGGGAAGCTATCTCTCTATCCCGTATTGCTATCTATTCCGGAATTTGCCTACATCGGATTTCAGTCAAGATTGTTGAGCGCGAAAAGGTCAACAAACCATTGCTGGCAAAATCGTCGATTTCTGCTTCGGTTAAATCGGAAAATTCGATCTCTCGCGTATACAAAATTAAAATGCGCATATATCAAGGCGAACATAATCGCATTCGCGTTTTTTTATCAATGCGTTCAAAAAGCATAGCAAAGCAATTTCGTACCAGTGCACCTTTACCCGGCAAATTTTTCTTATTTTGCACCGTTACTTTTGACGGTTGCTTGCATTTATGCCGCAACAAAGAAAAGCTACCATTTTGGTGTTTCCTCGCGATAAGAATCGATGCGATTCCCTTCCTATAATGATCTCGGGATTATATGCGCGATCGATAACGAGTCCATTCGTAATAATCTACGCTGATTGTTGCCTTCGGTGTCGCCTTTCACTTTATTTTACGGATATTTTATTTTACGACCCTTTCTCGCGCGCGAACCTACCTCTCTTCACGGTAACGACGCTTTTCTCGCAGAATACGCGCTTAGAACACAATCCCCTGTGGCCTATATTTACATTTTACGGTAATCACAAAGATTGTACACTTACCAGACTTCGGGACGTTTTCTCACTGAGCCTCAGAATTTATAACAGCTGTGAAAAGTTCAATAAAGAGAGAGAGAGAGAGAGAGAGAGAGAGATTTCTTTTAAAAATTTGATTAAATCACAAAAAATCTAATTGTAAGTATCATACACACAGAGAGTTTTCTCTTGAAATTTACCCTGAAAATTATAGTACTCGTGGTATATTGGAATATATGATATTGGAAGAATTTTATAAGAGTTTCTCAGATTAATATTTAAACAATAGCACGATAAAAGTATTAATACCTACCACGATATATAATAATAAGATGTAAAATATGTTCGATTAATTTTACTGTGTACATAATAAAAATGATTATGTGTACACATTAATATTTTTATTGTGATAAATATATTATTCAGAGAAATTGTTATAAAATTCTTGTTCCACGATTAAGTAAATTCTAAGAGAAAATTCTCTCTGCGTGTGGTTTTCAGAGCGTAATCAGAACCTAATAGAAACATGACGGTATAATGCAAAATAAGATATTCCAATCCCAGGATTTCTACAGTGAATGCGTCTATGTATAAAGTCACGAGAAGGGAATAAAAATAACGTTTCTAAATTGATTTCGCTAAATCAAACCCCGCACATGCTTCGTTTCACAGAAGCAACAAAAGATTACCTCGTCCACAGAGGTCTAACACAACAGAGAGACGACGTTGAGAAACGCGGCCGGAAAGGTCGCTACAAAGCGATACGCACGTGTTTCCTCTTCTCTCCCGCGAAGTCGAGAATATCGAGCGGTCGATATCTGTCCTCTTCCTCGACAAGAGTCGGCCTCGTTGACTATACCCTCGCACTCTCGAAGACATAATGCTCGAAGCGTAAGACGTTTTCAATGGAAGTCTGCTGCAGCTCGCCAGACCCGGATCATATTCCTCTGGCCCGAAACTATCTCGGCCCGATCCTCGAGCTTTTACAGAACGTGAAGGTTCTCGCAGCTCTTCGACTTGCTGTCGCGCGCCCAGACCTTGTCCAGCAGATTGCGCACTTTCAGGCTGGTGCTGGTCCGACTGCCCCGATACTTCTTAGGCGAGTTGTTCTCCGAGCACGAGCCCAGCGGCGACTTGCTGCGATTTTTCCGCGATCTTTTCCGAAACATTTCCCTGGTCCTCTCGGGGTTCTCGAGCTTCAGACGAATTTGCGTGAGCAGGCCGACCAACAGCTCGTCGACGTTGTGATTGATCCCGACGGATGTCTCGATGAACTTGCAATCGTAAGACGTCGCCATGGATTTGCCCTCTGTAACGTGAAAATCGATTACATTCAAAATGACATCGCGCATTCCGAAAATTTCATTCACGCGAACGTGCGCGCGATTTATCTCAATTTTAAATTTGAATGCCTCGAATCACATCGTGCATTCTTGTCATTTTTCAATAGGTATATAAGTAAATTGAATTACAAAACGTCAACGGTATAATCTCTCTAAAATGTTCTGCACTATATGTTTTTTTTTTTAGAACACTGTTACTTGATTGAACAAATTAAGACACGAATTTGTGATGTTTAACGTATAGTATAATTATACGTGAATGCACTTTAAAATCAATTAAAGAGAGGAAATATTTTTTCATTATTTTTCTTGTAAATTTCTAACATAAAGTAAAGCTCCAATTTTGGAAGTAAATGTTTAAGGGAAGATGGGCTACGTACAATTAGTGCCACGTCCATTGAAATCATTTATTAAGAAGTTAAAGAGAATGGATGCTAATTCTAGGCTTCTCTCTAAACCCTCTTTCTTTCTTTTTCTTACAAATATAAATTACATATATAAATATAAATATATAAACAACACGCAACAATATTACCTATTATTTAACAATAAACAATAAATTGAATAAATGATGATTCATTAGAAAGAAAGCATAATTGCGAGGAAGATGCTACTAATTTAATCATGTTTAATAGGAACGATATATTCTTTGCACCGACGCATTCACTCGGGGGGTTAAATGGTTTTCCTTCGCTCCACTGTTCTCGGAAAATTTGCATCAAGGTACAGCAAGATGCTGCGTCAGTGCGCATTAAGGTATATTACGCTATTTGCCCGATATCAGCGTTTCGCGTTAAATGCCATCTCAATAATAAATAGACTTTGTTGAATAAATACGCGTACGAAATTCTCTCTCGCGCAAATCGTCCGAATAAACGATTTACAAGGGGTCAAAAAAAAATGCCGTACCTTCGGTCGATACCAGCCGACTGCGAACGAGGTCGACCTTGTTCCCTACGAGAATGACCGCTCTCGCGGACATGTGATCGCTCCTCCATAAGGACTGGAGAACCTCCTCGGCGGCGCGCACTGACGCTCGATCAGTCGTAGAATAAACGACGCAGTACGCGTGCGGTTCGTACGTCGAGATGCAATTCTCCGGCTGCGAACATTAATCATGACAGAGGGACATTAATATTAATGATTGAGCCTGGGAATTTCTATCTTTCATTTATGAAGCTCCATAATGATCATTTTATATACATCACACGATCGTTTCATATCAGTAATCTTTGAATAAATCTCACGCAAATTGAGTACACTTAACAAAATGACATTTTATTGAAGTAAATATCATATTGATGTTTCTTCAGAATTTTTTTTCCATTGATTCCAAGTATTAATCATGATGGAGACATTAAACATTAATAATAATATATCAAACCTAATATTTCTAATTTGTAAAACTTATTTGTTAAATATAAAAGAAATTTTTAATTTTTCTGATCGTTTTGATTTGAGAATACATATATACGAAATGTGCATCTTTGTAAAAAAATGTAAAACATCCTTCGAAATATTTCAAATATTTTTTCTTTTGAATTTCTTGAAATCCAATGAGAATTCACATTGTATTTTTCATTAATCTTTCTGCTCTATAAATAGATGAAAAAATATTTGTTGTTTCTTTTTAACTCAACGAGACTTTTTGGTTAGATGTATTATAAAGAAGAGCATTTCTCTTATATGGATATTATAAAAGAAAACTTCTATAGAAATATTATAAAAGCAAGCTTGAAAAGTTTGCTATTGTGTTTTGCTACAGGCAGAACTTTTACAAAAGGAATATGTACAGATTCATTGTAACATGTTTATAGTTATGATAAAATATAGGACAAAAATCGAACAGTATTGTGAAAAGTTAAAGTAAAATCTGCTTTGTGTTATCAAATTGTGATCTATAAGATTTCGAAATATTTTTAATATAATTTTGATGTTTTTATTATATTTTGTTAATATCAATTTGCGGTGAGATTAATGTTGATTGATTGAAAGATGAAAATGTTCTTGTAAATTGGTATAATAATAATATATATATAAATTATATATATATATATATATAGATATATTTAATTGAAATCATTAGACTGTAAAGAGAATTAAAGGGAAGGGATTGAAAAAGGTATATCCATTACACAGATATTGAGTAACTCAAAACCTTGAAGCTTGGCAGATTGGATTTTTGCAATCAGTATATATGAAGATGATATTAATTCTTTGATTCTTGCAATTTTTAAATTTATTTTATTATTAATTTATAATTTATTTTTTTATTTATTCTTTTTTCGAAAATATTAGTTTTCGCATGTTTCAATTTTCAGAAAAACGATATACTTAATTAGTTGACTCTTAATTAGAATATTGAAAAAAATATATATTTAAAAATAAAAAATATTTTGCACTACCCGAGAAAGCGCGTACTTTATTGATGCGTAAAACACATCATATTTTAATTAAACTCAGACTCGTTAGCACACTATTACAGTGTCAAAAATGAAAGCGAATGATTTAAAAAGCGATGTCTATTTTTTCATTTAAAATTTCCTTCTTTTTTAAAGCGCAATTGAATTTTGCTGGTCATCATTGTCCACTCGAGTGACGTAAAAGTTTCTGGAACGTATAATTGCAATCTCAGCAGTATTGCGACACCCACTCGGAATGTTAAGCTATAAATAATAATCTCCGGGCGATATTTCTCGCTGTATTCTATAATTGATATTCGTAACGAAGTCCGGCCAAAACGAGACCTAGTTTAGAAATGGAAGAAAGGCCAGCTTCAAATTACTGTAAGAGGCATAAATTATATTTCCATGGAGCTTTGCAAAAGTAAAACCGAGAATAATATTCAGACTAAGTTGGAGCGATAATCCGCACTGCCTAAATCTAGCTTAATAATTTACTAGTATATCTCTTTCTAGCTTAAATATCGGCTTAATGTAAACAGAAGCAAAAAAAGTGGCACATTGATCTAGACTTCTTGCATAAACATACGCGACATTCACTACACATATAATATGTATTCACAATATTTATAAAAACATCTTGAAAAAATAATAGCATATAAAGTATACGTGAGAATATAAAAAAGTATTTCCCAGACACGCGGTGAAAATATAAATAAATCCAATTGCTGTCTCTCTTTTTTTTTTATTAGCAAAAATAGAAGCCCACATATATAATATGTGTTCGACTAAGGAGGTTAATCGGGGTTAGCGCTAAACAACATTAGCGCAGCCAGCTGTTAAAGGTTAAGATCGACGGGCAACGATGGGAGCGGGTTCTGCGATTTTTCGAACGATTATACGAAAGAATCACCTTGAACCGTATCAAAGGCGCGGCGCGCCTCGTGATATCGAATATATCTATACGAGATCGAGCGTTCTTAACGGTCGAACGCGCGGCATGGCTCGGTGCTCGTCAATGACTCGCGGCACGCCTGGTTGAACGAAGGCAGGAGAGAACGCGCTTCGTTACACCCTCAGGTCCTTTTTCTTACCCCTGTACGAGGTACACGCGCAGTCAGCTCGTCACGTGAAAACTCTTACTTGCCCGGTTGCACACAGACCGCAAATCGGACTGTCACGTCGCATTTGGATGCCAGACCATAAGAACTTGGATAACATTGCTCTAAATGGCAGTGCTCGCGCGAGACCCGCGTCGTTAATGTGAAAAGTAATGTCGGTCACGTTAAACGCGACACTGATGCTTTTCAAAAAAGAAACATCTCGGGGCTTTTTAATTCAACTTGCTTTCTTTCATATTAATATTCAACTTCTTTTAATATTCTCGTATATATATATTTTTTTTATTATACATTATTTAAAGAGATATATGACTGTATTTGATCTTCAAATATTACTTTTATTAGGTATCTTACTTTTTTCAAAGTATAGGTATATGCAAAATTAAAATCACATTTTTTATTTACTAATTATATTTTGAAGTTATAAAAAAAAGGACTATATATTAATAGGCGCAGAAAATCAATGGTCGCGCATGTTCATCCCGTTTGTTTTATAAGTTCCTACGCATGCGATGAAAGACGCAATTACTACGATTTGTTGAGGAACTACGCATAAAAGAGACCCTTGGTGCTCTCGTGGACACATTACTCGTTAACGTATTTACGTTGATTAAATAAAGCATGCAGAGGTTCAACTCTGAAACCACAACGTAGGGTCAAGCATTGACCCATTTACGCTTAACTTTGTTGTAAACCTTGCTAACGAATTCACATAAATGCGAAATAAATACGGAATTATTCCAAACTCTCTCCTCTCCTCTATTTCTCGCGTCTTTCTTCTTTCGTTCTTATATTTTTGAATTTATATTCAATATTCCCTTCTAAAAATCGTGCAAGGGCTTCTTCCATGAGAGGCTTTCGTGAAAACTTTTTAATTTTTTCCATTTCTCAATTTCAAGTATTATCCGCGAGTATTTCGTGAAATGAGTTGTATTTTTAATACGTGAAAAATATTTTCAACTTATATATCATTGCTCTTATCTATATGGATTATTTAATTGAAGTAATCTTCTTTAATGAAAATTTTGGAGATTAGATGTGTTTTCTTTCTTCGCAGTTTTTCCGTTTTCAGCATCAATCATTGTAATAACTAGATTGCAAATTAAAATATTGTTAAAATAAAATCCATTTGGAGTTACAGTTGTGTAACAAATTCAATTTATTAAATTTTAAAATTAACTCTGCAACAACGCGCTATATAATATTGTGTAATTATGTATTTCGAGGTATTGTCAAAGTAACCGCACGTTTAATAGCAACTATATATTAATATTGTAAATGTATGTACAATATTATGAATAATGGATGCATAACTGTGAATTGTTACAAACTATTGATAAATTATAGTTTGTACACGACATTATTTCACTAATATATATTCTCATTTTTGGACAATGTATCTCCATAAGTATATTATTAGAGCTTTATTTATGTGTCACAGTTTACGAAATAACAATAATGCAATTTCTAATTAAATCTTTAATGCAAATTGTATAGACTACGCTCCATAATTATCGCTACATCTATTCATCTTCAAATTCTTTGATTAAAATATAAAATTAATATTTTTGATGAAAAATTTTAGAGTACCTTTTCATCTTGCAATTTTAAGTGCCAAACAAAATTAATTGATAAATTAATTTTATTATTGTAAATAAATGTTAGTAAAATTTATTCAAAATTGCATAAAGCTCTAGTTTTATTCTTATATATTATATATATATTATTTCTTTAATTTAAATAGTCAAAATCTATTCATTCCTTATTGCTTATTGTACAAGGATTATCGATTGTTCGACTCATTCTTGTCAAGGTAAAAGTTTTCGCGAATTGATTGAACAATACATTAATAAAAATTGCCTTGACATATGTAGAACATCAGTATTACGCCGTAATTTAAAATTATACAGCAGCTTCACGCGAATATGAAGTTGAACTATATAAAATCACGCATATTTTTAAGGAATATAGAAATATAAAAATTTGAAAAATTCATTTTATTAATCAAGAAAATATATTCTTCCGTCGAAAATTTGACGCAATCTTAACATTCTCAATAGGAACTAAAATTCTTCTTAAAAAAAAAAAAAAAAAAAAAAAAAAAGAATTGGCAGCCGTGTTAGAAATTGCAATCGCGGCGAGCTTATCTCTACGTAATAAATACGCATTAACTTAATAGCCCTGCCTAATACAATCCCCGGACTTATCAACGGAAATCAGGATCTCGGCCTCGCGGCTTAACGTGATTAGCGATCAGCCTTGACTTTCGGTAATACCAAAAATAACAGCGGCGCGCAAGTCGTACCCGGGTGTACGGCCTTCGATAACCGGAATTCGAGAAATTCGGAACTCCGCGCTCGATCAACCACCTACAAGCAGTGCAGCCCCATAGTTTGCTGTTGCAATCGTCGATCGCGTTTCGCGGACGCACGCGAGATCGGTCGCGATCGCGCAATATATGTTTGCCGCGAACGGCTGCGAACGTACGTTTTAATTAAAGGGTAAATTCGATTGAAATTGTCTGGCGAAGCGTGGCGGCGGTTCCACCCTCCTCCCTCCTTCTCCAACCCTCCTCATTCATACCCTTCCGTAATGTAGACCTCCGTGTATGTACATCTCCCCACGTTGATGCCGTCGCGGTAGCTCGCCCCTGCCATGGAAAATGGATTTTAATTTAATTCGCGTACAAAAGCACACACTCGCGTACCCATCCCGCTGCACAAGCCTCTCCCTTTCAACCCTCCTCTGCCCCCGGTGTTAACTCGATTACGTCGTCCTTGTCGTCGTGAGAGTACTCCGTCGAAGGTTCAAGGCGCGCGCTCGGTTCCCCTGTTCTCTATTTGTTCGACGAAAATGAGAGGAGACGGACCGGCTGGCGAGAAATCGCAAGTTTGCGGCAGAAATGATTAGTCCAGGGACATGGAAAATTAGCGACGTACTACATATCGTGCGTATCAGTGATCAATTGCCTGAGGAAAATTCTGTTGAAGACCCGTTTTATCATTCTGTTGCTTGTCAGCCGTGTCTGTGTGGGTCTTTATATGTAGGATGTCTCTTGGGTACACCTTTTTATCTCCCTTTCTTTTCGTATTTAGCATATCAAATTTATTGAAATTTTTATCGAATGCAAATTCATATTTTACAAGATATATTTTTTATTATATATATATATATATATAAAATATATCTTGTAAAATATGAATTTGCATTCGATAAAAATTTCAATATATATATATATATATTAAATACAATCCCCATATATATATATATAATATATATATAATAATATATATATATATATATATATATTATATATATATTAAAATGAATGATTTATCATTAGCGCAACACGCAATATTAATTTAAATAATAGTGTGATGTTTATCTCACGGAAATTCGTCAAAAATTACGCATACACACAATCTGCGCCTGATAATCACAATGTGTGATAATTTGATAACTGATTTTGACAGCGCTATTAACTCACCGTCATCTCGGCGCAGGAATGATCGATAAAAGTCAATTCCGATTCCTCACCGGCCAACAGCACGCTGACAGTCTTTTCACCAGACTCGTCGTCTGTAATGAATAAAAATTATCAAAAATGTAATTAGATTTTTAAATATACAAATTCTGAAATAATGTCATAAAGAAGTAAAATTTGCTCATTAAATTAAAAAATATAGTAACTAAATAATTATTATATTAATAATAAAGCTTGATATAAATTTCTCATTAAATTATAAAAAGTAATAGCTAATGAGTTAATAAATAAAATTGGAACGTCAAACTAATTTTATAAAAATATGAATGCCTCGGAATGAATAATCCATTCTTTGTGAAATGCTCTCACTTCATTTTTAATTCATTCATTTCAAATACTAAAAATATGCAGATATTTATGAAATACAAATCAAATCGAATTCAAAAGTTTTCTTATCTATTTCGGGACAAACTTAATTATCTGATGAAGTCGAATAATTTCTAAAAGTTCTAACGAGAACATTACATTACTTGACATTATCTGCGACAGCTTTAATTATTGTAAATTATACAAATGCGAGAATTTATTTCGCAAAATTTATTTATTTAAAAAAAATACATAAACATTTATTTCATTTATTTATTGTAAAGAGAGTTTTCGTGCATAAACCTTTGAATGATCCGAGATAATCGAGTATCTGCAATTCAAATCGGATTTGATACCGCGTATATATACGGATCAAATATGCCCGGGGACGCGGAAATATCTCACGCACACGCATGATTTTTCCGTGTCCGTATGGATAAAAAAAAATTGCATCCCACTTTATATACAGCATATGCCCCGCTTGTTTGCGTTCCGATTGATTATGATTTTGACGGAGAGATCGCGTGTCGGCGTTTTCGATCGATCGTGCATATCGCGACCCTGGGAATTTGACGGGGCGTAAAATACGCGGACTCACCGATCGAAGTGTCATAGGCGTGCAGGTACTCGGAAGTCATAAATTGAGACACCAGCGAGCTCTTGCCGACGGCGGGGGCTCCCAGCATAAGGACGCGATAGGGTGCCGGTCCTTGGGACGCGCTGCTCTCCCTCGAACTCGCCAACGAACCCGCCGCCGAATTCCTTGCCGATCCCGGTACGAGGCGGTCAGGTGTTCCGTGCTGCGCCGAATAGAAGAAAGGCTAGGCGCGTATCGAGATTAGCATGGGACATGGCTGTATCGTCGATTTCAATATTAATCAATGTGACAAAGGGGTCAATTCTCGCTGGAAATTTTCGGAAAATCAAGTTTCTCTTGTGTATGTTTTTTTTGTCGATTTTTCGAGCGACAATTTTGAAAAAAATTTACATAGGTAATTTAACCGTGTTAGAAAAAAATGTAGATGCTTGTTACGCATATTTAACCTGGGAATACTACAACTTTTGATAATTACATTAATGTTATAACTGCATAAAAATACACACTGTGTTCTACAGGAAAATTTAAAAGTGTGCATCTTTTATATCTTTTTTATTCGTTGCATATGTCCATGTAAATATAAATGCATACACTTTATAGAAAATATAATTTTGTGGATGCTTTTTCTGCTCGTTACAGTATTTTATATTTAAAAAAATATAATACTTATCGTTAATAAAGAAACTACTTGAGTAGGCTCATTTTAAGAAAAAATTGCAGTAAAGAGTGATTTGCATTATAATGGAAATATAATTTGTTTGATGTAGTAAATACTTCTTTAAATATTCATTATTTCAAAATGGATTAAAATTTTTCTTACATTTATTATTCAATTTTTCACATTCTTTATCATATTTGAAACTAGATGAAAGATCTGTGTATTAAGATATAAAGTAAAATAATATAAGAGACAGAATTTCTACTTGACTGCGTAACATTATCAAATTGTCTTTCCTAAGAAAACTTTTATGACAGACGAGAAAATATGAATACTTCTGGAAACTATTTTATGATGCAAATAATAGAATGAAGAGAAAAACTGTCTTTTTGAGGCAAATAATCTGTAGAAAATTCTTGCATGTATTTTACATATTTGTTTTGAACACAAAATGCTTCGTCTTTCTCTTTTTATCTTTCTTTTCTCTTATATGCTCGTATGTTTTTGTTTTAAATAAATAAGTATTTTTTGAGAAGTGCAACGTCCATTTGAGACTTAGAATTTATCTATTTCAATAGATAATACTGCTTTATCATTTATATGGTATGAATATTTAATAATAAAACTCAATTTTGTCTCACTACACCCTTATACATAACAAAAAATAAACAATAAAAAACGCTATATATGATTGTATAAAACGTCTTGTAAGATTTTGCGTCAAACTTCGAGGACATATTCTCGAGGATATAAGATGATTTTATCTGAGCGGAAATTTCCTCGGTGTGTGCCTCTTTTTGGTACAGCAATTTCGAAATTTTCAACATCAAATATTTTAAGCAACGGAATCTCAAATCAAGATTCCGCTAAACTCGACTTAAAATTAATTCAGAAATAGGATTTTGCAGCTCGAGGGCTTAATTTACTAAACCCTTTTAGCTTTTAATGTTAAACACATCCATAATTACGGTCCTTGGTTTAAATTTTCGCAGAGGAAAGGTCAACTCTGATTTTGCCACGGAATATACTTCTGCAATTAATCTTTAGGAAAGGTTTTGGCATATTTATACAATATATTGCAAGTATAAACTTTAGAAAATATTCCGTATATATTATATCGCGTTTTATTTTTCGTTTTATATATCGATATCAAACTCAATATGGTCGAGTTGCATCTCGAGAGATAGAAAAAATCGTAACAGGTTTATTCAATTACGCGTGAATATTCAACGTTTCGCACTTCTGCAGAATCTGAGTAATAAAGATCAGTATTCACGATGACTAGTTACCTGAGTCATAAATATTTTGCACATTAATTTATTCCGATATTATATGCGCTGTTTATACTTGTATATTTAATATGTTATATATTATATATTATATTATAAATATTATTATATTATTTTAAAGCAAATCTTGTTGGAATCATACAAATCAAAAGTGTTTCATATAACAAAATTATCTTTTTAAACGAATTATTAATAATTATTATCAATTGCATTATTAAATTGCAAATATTACCTGCAAAATGCACAATAAATTTTCCCACAAAGATCAAATTTAATATTTAATTATTTTACAGTATTCTAATTTTACTAAACATATTGCGTGAAAATTATCTAACAGAAATACAGTATTTCAAATATAAAATGCAAGTTGCAGCGCATAATATTTCATGTAGAAAAAATATAAAATATTATTTTGAAATATATAAAACGCAGATACGTTTGAGAAAACGAGAGAGATACGAAATAATATATAATGTTTACATCAACTGCATAGCAGCTTATTCGAAATGCTATCTATCCAGTCTCTCGATATTTTCGCGTAATGTTCAAGGACCACGCTCTAAGGTCCAACGCGCGTGTCTACGTCACTTCAACGCCACACGTAAACTCACGCGTTCGATCTAGAGCGAACGGCCCGGTCCGCTGCGACAAGAAGAGGGTGAACCGGAGATAGAGGCCGGAGATATTCTACGGCGCGCTCCTTCCGAGCGCGAAGCGGACGAAGTAGTACAATCGTAGATATTGCCGGCCGGCCGACCGACCGTAAAGTAATAACTAGAACTGTCGATATCTCGCTACAGCTATCGACACTCCGTTAACAAAAATACTTTCTTGTCAATTTTTTATTGAAATTCCTACGCTAAGAGAATTTCCTTTTAAAATTCTTAGCCTGAAAATCATGGTAATCGTGCGACAATATATAGCATATTGAAAGAATTTTATGAGAATTTCTCTCTGATTAATATTTTCCACAATAAAAAATATTAATATATACATAGTAAAATTAATCGAACATATTTTATTTATTTTATTGTGGTAAATATTAATATTTTTATTGTGGTAAATATTAAAGAAATTCTGATAAAATTCTTCAAAGTAAATTCTATAAGAGAAAATTCGATATATATATTGCGTAAATATAAAGAAAATAAGTTCGCGACAGTAAAGAATATTATTTCTTAGAAAGCGTGATAAGAGACTCTAAGAAGTTGATTTTATTAACGACTAATTTATATCACTACTTAATAATGAGTGATTAAATATAGAATTCGATTTCTATATTTTATTTAAATAGGTGGAATACACGCAAAACACGTGTATATAGCACCCATTGAAAAATCGTAGATTTGTAATATTTAAAAATTCGTATAATATAAAAATATTCCCGTTCGAGGGATCTATCTCGCTTTAATTGCCTTAATAACACTCACCTGGAATTGCTAGACGCGACGCTGTTATTCGAACGTGATCTGCGACTCTTGAGGGAATCGCCCCGATTCACCACTCCTTTGCCCGTGATACTGAAATGCCGCAATCTGTAGTATTCCTCCTCCACGCCGGTATTAGGCATACTCGCCACTCGCGATCTCTGTTGCGGAAGACACAGATAATTCGGCCGACCGGAAGAACGACTGCCGGGAGCTTTCACTGACTGCGACCGGCTATGATGGGGACTTCCATATCTGTGACAGAGGAAAATATCTTGTTACTATATACATATGTACCGTCCGAATATATTGAATATACACGGGATGGTTCACAGAAGGAAAAATCAATATTTTACGGTGTTGATAACATTTATGAAGTGTCTTCAAAGTTAGACATATTTCTATATAATTCTTTAAAAATTTAATGAATATGGATGTAATATAAATCAACGAAGAACATCCATTAAGGTTAAAGGGATGGAATTTTAGAGAACTCTTTAGAATTCTTAAGAAGCGTGCGCTTTTTTATTATTAAAAAATCGAAATCTCTTTTTTTAATGTCAGATAATTTTTTTATTGTCTATATATACGATGCTTACACATTTTTTAATTTTAATCAGCACAATCTTGAACTACCTATAATTGAACACATGTTTGTCAAATATATTTTTTATTTGTAGTGCTTGATATTTTTCCGAAGTATAGATTTTTCCTTCTGGGACATTCCTGTATAAGTCTGTAAATATTGAATATCCCTCGGTTAAAACTTCTGACAAGATTTCAGAGGAAACTTTTCCTTTTACCGCGATCGAGAACACATCAAATTATTTTAAAATACATGAAAGAAATGATATTTTTATTAGGCTCATCTATTATACATAACTACTGATTCATATTTATTAGATTTATTGCATCAAATACATGAAATGCTGTTTAATATTTTTTTAAATATCTCAAAACGTCTTGTTACAATGATTTTTAATATAGCATTAATTACACGTTATCGAAAAAATATTTAATTTTGAAAAAATTTCATATTATCAGCAAGATTTATCAAGAAATTATGCAACGAAATATCCAAAATAAATAAGTCAAAATTGACAGTGAATCGATGTTATATTTTGTTCAGAAAACACACACTGTTAGTTTCCTCTTAAACAAAACATCCGCACCAAGAGATACATTATTAATCATATTAGGAACTTTAAAGTAGACCGGCTATATTTCACCAAACGTCATCCATTAGTTACATACATTCCCTTGGACATTCAAATTTTTATGAGACCTATATCATCGAGATCGACCGATGTCGTTTTCCGGTGAATGCCGCACAGTAGGAAAATTTGTGAATTTAAATTATTAAAACAACTGAAAAAAGATGTAAAAATAACACAATGTCCATCTATTTTTAACGTTACACAATAAATATGTTTCGTTTTATTAGCGCGACGAGATTTATTTGTTAAAATTTACAGAAAAAAATGTTGATTTTTTATTTTACAATATAAATTAATTTTGTGTTAAAATATTAACATAATATTTGCATCTCCATTCAACAACATATCTATATTATGTTAAATAAACACAAAAATTTCTTTGAAACCATTTGGGACGTGTATGAGATATCTGTTAAACACAGAAATTATCATTCGCTCACCTCATCTCGAAGTCGTGTATCTCCTGTAGGGTGAGAGTGTTGGCGACGTCCAGCAACTGCCGCATATTTTCCTCGCGTCGTCTGGCGTCCGCGTCCGGGTGCAGCAAAATCGTCGCCGCGGGCGCGTCCAGCGATAAGGACGGCTGTTGCACGACGATCGTCGCCTGAGTCGATCGCTTTCCGGCACCGCCGGCGCTTCCGCCTTTCGGGTATATAAAAAATTCACCATCTATTAGCCATACCGTCCGGGCTGGGTGATCATCGCGGGTCACGAGGACGGAGAAGAGAAGAAGGTTTCCAGCCTCTTGGTCTCCGTTCTCGTTTCACCCTCGCGCGGCACGGAACGCGTTTTTCGGGGTTCCTTATAGGCCTTTAGGGACTCTCGCCCTTCTTGGTCCTCGGTTGCGTTTACGCCAGATATGCGTGCCTGACGGTTTTCGTATTCGCTATTGTATCCCGACGGAATCGCCGTCCCTCACTGAATATTATCGCTGATGGGACTTCGTTTTCGTTCCAACAACGGAATCTCGATAAGACTGACGTCAATTACAGCGGAAGAAGTTCCAACGGTATATTTGCACGACGAGCAGGCTGGGTCGGAGATCATTATTTCCCGGGGAAATTTTCCATAATTATAATTGTGTATGTGTATAAAGAATAAGAAGGATATTTTATATAACTTCTGTCGCGATAAAAATTCAATTTCATTTAAATGGTTTCTTTTCTGTTTGTTATTTATTTTACCGTATTTCTTCATTTTCTAATCTTATCTAGTTCACGTTATTTATTTGACACATACATAATATATATATATATATATATATATATATATATATATATAAAGTATATAAAATATGTCAAATCGATCGCTGCAGCTTCCATCTATACCAAGTTTTTTATCAAAGTGTAAAGAATTAATATTCCCTAAAAAAAAGCATGCCGAAATATATAAATAATTTCCCAAATATAAACGATTGAAGATGAAAGAGTTTGAAAAAGACGTAAAAATGAAGTTTGTTCGGTCATTGATTTTTTGACAAGAAATATTAATTTGCGGCTCACTTGAAAAAAAAATTTAATATCGGAACTTGGTATAATTTAAAAGTAATACGTGGAACTCAATTCTTTGACGAGTTTGAAATCAAGTTTAAACTTGGTTGCTCAGCTCTGTACCGTATTTTAGCATATATAATAAGCATCCAATTAAGTTTTCGTTAAAGAAAGCCAATTTGTTTTCAGAATCTAATATTACGTAATTTTCTTTTAAAAGTGCAAGAGATGAACATCTTCACAACAATTAATCTTTATTAATATTATTATTAATTTCTTTCTTTAGAATAAAACGTTCGATTATAAATAAAACATGTCATTCGAAATGATAAATACTGGAATGTGAAAAGATTCATCGACGATCGATTCGTGCTTTGAGCAATTTTTGCAATTACATTTCGGGATGAAATGAAATTTGAGATCACAATCCTAATATAATGATAATGATCGCAGCATGATCCCCCTATACAGACCATAGTTGTGGCTCATAAAGTTCTTTTCATCCGAGATTGTTCTCGGTGTGGTAATTTCTAACCCAGCCTGCAGGTCGACAGGGATCTTTAAGACGAGCAAACTCCTCGTTTAAACAAAAGTTCTGCAATCTGCGAACTCGCGCGATTGCAATTACCGAGATTCCATCCGGCAGACCGACGGACGGAATAATAACGAGGATTGTGGGTAGCGAGGACGGCGATCCCACGGATATCATAGCGTGTATGTGTGTATATTGTGTATTTGTATACACTAGTGAATAGAAACAAACAGGTAACGACAAAGCGTGATTCGATAGCAGGAGTCTATGCAAGCGGCATTCCCAAGTTTTCTCTTTCGCGCTGTGTTAAATCATGACGTAGTAGCCGAAGCAAAGCCGATCGCATTGCAAAGATCGATATCGCGTACACTGGATTAAAACCGGTTTAATTCTCACTAACTTTTTAGACTTCGATGCTACAGACACGTGGAATGATTGCATCTTGCGTGCTCGATTCGTATGATTCTGATCGGACGAAATGAAATTAAGATTAATTCTCTTGAGCTTTTTTGTCTTCTTTCTAGATTTAATTAAGTAATTGAATAAAGATATTCTAAAAATAATATATATTTTGATTAAAATCTAAAAAAAGATATATTTAAATACATCATTGTTAAATATCTAAAATACTCTTTCAATATGCATACGGTTGAATATAAAATAATTTAATTTCTGAAATAAATTATGTAGCAATTTTATTTTATGTACATATTAAATGCGTTTTAAATTAAAGCCAAACTCGTGAAAATTGATCCTAATTGCATTTAGTACGATTAGAATCTTTTGTATTGAGAATGATATATATGTGTTTTTCTATATCGTAAGCATTTTTCTATATCTATAACGTTAAAAACTAAATTCTCAACTAAATTATATACTGATTCGATCAACATCGTAACAACATTTACTTTATCATCGATGAATCTACATCTATTTATTTATCTATTTGTAATACCAAATTTCACATTTTGTGATACACACAGAGGAAAGCAGAGAATATGGAAGAGGTAGAAATTTTAGATGCCAAAAGATGCCGAGAGAGATTCGATTTTTTATTTATTTCATAAAATATATCAATTTTAAGTAATAATTTTGATAGTGCGATACAATTTATGAATATATCATTAGAGATGCGTAAAGTTTAAGACATCAATATAATAAATTCTAAAAAAATACGCGTTTATTTTTATGAGTTAACGGCGTTAATGAATAATAAAAATTTCATGTTCCTATCTCCTCCTTCATGGCCCGTTCCCATAGATATTAAATCAAATTAATGGACTTTTAATTAATTCTTTCCTTTTGTTTTTCGACAAAAAAAAAATTATTTAAATCTCCTTCAATTGTAACATGTATGCGAACGGTCCTATATGATGGCGACAAAAACCACACTAAAGTCACATACTAAAAAGATCGATGTGTTTTGCACACGCAACGGATTTTTAATTAGCGATCAATGCAACACGGCGACGTTATTTTCCTCGGCTACGGCATCATATCGATTGCCATCGCGGAATTCGCGGGACAACGAGTGGCGACATTAAGAACATAAGGAGACTGAGTCTCGGGAAAGGAGTCTTGTCAAGGACGTAATGTCGTGTTTTCTTTTCTCCTCTAGCCGATAAAAAACCTCGTCGCCGCTCGTTGTCGTTGATATCCGCGCGAAAGAGACGCAAGCGTGATCGACAACGCGGGAAGAGGACAGAGACGCAGCGAAAAACAAGAGATGGTGAACAAAGGAGAAGAAGCCCAAGCGCATTCGCAAATATAGTCGCATATGTGTGTTTACCGTACTGTATCCACTTATATGACACACCATGAAGAAGGGCAGCCGCCGAAAGGGCGGAGGATCCTCCGAATCCCAGTGTTCTCACACATTCACACACATCATCATCATCATCGTCATCGTCGTTGTTATCGTTATCGTTATCGTTAACGTCGTCGCTGTCGTTGTTGTTGTTGTTGTTGCACAAGTCTTATGCGCTTTCGACGGCCGCCCTTATGTGGATACGGAAATGACTATATCGTCTATTCGCCGGACTATGTAATACCTATTGCGCAAAACGGGAAAAAGAGCCTGACCCATGAATGAATGGCTGAAACGAGTGGATGAGATTCTGAAAGAAAAGAACATCAATTCATTTCCTTAGAGCTATCGTCCATTTCTCTCTCGTCTCCTCTCGTTTCCTCTCCCTCATGCACATATATACATACATACACGCATATACACACACACGCACATCGCGTATACATCACATACGTCTACATATACACGCGCACGAGATTGACTTACACCGATATCGATTGACGCCCTAACTCTGATTAGTCGAATCTTTTTATCTCTCCCATTCGTGTATGAGGCCTTTGAAGTTTCTCAAAGTTAACACCAAAGCGTAGGGTAAAATAAATCATTTACAGATAAATGAGACAATTACAATGATGATAAGGTACATAGTTATATAGCACATTTTAATAATTTAATAATTTTAATTTTATTATTATAGTTATTTAATTTTAAAATGAATAATATAAAAAAAGAATTTTGTGTTACTTAGTTAGTAATTTTCCAGAGTCTTCTTGTACTGTAGATAAGACTATGAGTATATCATAGGCTATAATACTTCCATTCTCGTAATCTAAAGACAGCGTGAATCGCTAACTGGAATTATATAACACTTTAAAGAACTCCGACTGCGGAGTCACTCGATAGCCTTGGTTGAATAACTCTGGTTAGCGATCGACAGTCTCGGCTAAGTAACGTACAACTAAAGAAATAAAATCAGCGATTCACGGTCAATGTTAACCGAGGTTGCCGGTTTTCCCGCCTTTCAATTTTAATGATAGCCACGAACGAGCGATCGTTTTCCATTAGCCAGGATCTAGGGTTCATCAAGTAAATTACCATGGATATGATGAATTAAGGCAAACGAGACCGGAATGAGAAAAAGGGAGAGTGAGACAGAGAGCGAGTGAGAGAAAGAGAGGAACACTCGCGAGATTCGAGGGAGGAAAAAGTCGAGAGGGAGTGAAAAATCTCCGGTTTTTTTATCATCGACGAGAGGGATCGCGACGGGTGGTTCATCGTCGTCGTTGTGGTTTCTTAAGCAAAACGAGAAACTATAGAAACGTTACAAGGGGATGTTAGATCTAGAGACTCACCCGCTGATCGTCCTCGCGATTTCGTGCTCCCGCTACTCTGGATGTTGCAGCCCTGAGTGTTGCACGGCTGAGTCGCGCCTATGAGCGATATATCGAGAGGATTGGTCGTGACGTTGATGTTGGGCCTCTTCAGGCTCCGTTTATGCTCGGCGATGCCCTTCGTCTCGAGCGCGTTCGCCTGAATCGAGTTGACCTTCCCACTGGCCGTATAATTGATCTGATACGCCACCCTGGCGTTCTGCTTCTCCTGGGCGGTCACCAAGTTCCGAATCGAGGAGCGCGTGTCGATCGAATCGGGTTGGCCCGCGTCCACGGAGCCTCTTACGGGAGTGCTGAGCGGAAAATTGGATTATAGAGTACGAATAATCTTGCGGCCACAGTATATATATTTGCTGTTATTTAAAGAAAATTATATAGATGATCATCGAGATCAAACTTTGGCGTCATCTTATCTTTATATAGATAATCAAAATATGTATTATCTATATCTGTATTATCTATATCTTAGATGAAAAAAAGTATTATATAATTCTCAGATCATTTTTATTTTTAATTATTATCTAGAAAATTATCTAGATGAATCGCTATGTAATTTTTAGTTTTTATCTAGATATATTTAAAATCATCTTCATCTTATCTCGGATGAATTTACATATTTTTATCTCATTTTTATCTAATTAATTTTAAAATCATTTAAGCACAACACTGCTTGAGGCGATTAGGCGATTAATGATGTTTGACGAACCGAACCCTCGCGCGATCGAAATCACGAGGGTTCTTCAATTCTGTTCTTCGAAAGGTGTGGGATTAAATCGGAAATGTTCTCCCAAAATTCCTAGCTTAACCGTAAACTTTGCACTCATCCCCAGAGAAAAAGATAGCGGGAGATAGAATTCCCTTAAGAAACCTCAGTCTTACTAAGTAGAAGTTCTTTAACCGAGAAATTATTGCACGAGATAAGAATAATGTAACTGACAGATAGGTTTACTTAGATAAAGTTTCATTCTTCTCTATAAAATCTTTTCAATATTTCAAAAAGATTTAAGATAAATATCATACAGAATTTTTAAAAATGTTCCTATGTCCCTTTAAAGACATCCAAATATTTCTGCTTTCGATCTGTATACAATCTTACAGTCAGAGCATGTACCTAATAAATTTTCCATATTTTTTTATCTCTCGCCCAATCCTTTTTGGCTCGGGATCTATCGATTACTTTATCAACATGAGCGTCCGCAAAGGGAGACAAGAGAAGACATTTGCCCTCTCTTGGAATCAGTAATAAAACCAAGCATTTGCTCTCTTTTCGAATAAACACTGGAATTTATTTGTATATTTAAAAAAAAAATTAAAATTAAATAAAAAAAATGAAGTAAAAAATCCTGCAGACGCTTACGTTTGTAGAGCAAATTTACCTAAAGAAATCCGCGGCTCTGACATCCGGCAGAGGCGGGGTTCTGCCGCTCCCGCCGAAGGTGAACCTGGTCTCCTGATGGGTCCCAACCATCGGCGTGGGTGGCGGAAGAGCCGAAGTGCCTTCCGCGCCGTTACACGCGTTGTGACCGATCGTCGTCTTGGAGTTGCAGTCCGATTGACCCGAGTCGAGTTTCGAGCGGGTGGATCGGCTCGACGGCCCGGCGACCTCGGTTCCATCGAAGGCGCAGAGCGGTGATGTCGGCGACGACGGAAGCGGCAGCGGCGGAGTGGTTTGGTTCGACGGCGCCGCGACGGAGATGGGCGACGTCGGTGACGCCGGCGACGAAGTGCGGCTGCCCGTGGCTACGTGCTCGTCGGAATGTCCGGCGAGATGGATGGGTGATGACTGTGACGGGGCTGTGGCAGGAGGCGACATTTCGGCCGGCACGTCGATTAGGTCGAAACTGTCGTCTGGCTGCTCCCCGTCCGTCGTCGTCACCTGGGAAAATCGTGTCGATATATTATTTTATGATATATTACGATCGCACGGAACATTTTTATATTTTATATTTTAATTTCCCAAGAATATATACAAAAAGAGATACAAATATGGAAAATTCGGCGAACGATATTTCAATTATATTCGAAATTAAAACATTCCCTTATTAAAAATATCGAAACCTTAATAATTTTGAACTGTGAGTGATTGGGATAAATAAATGGAATTTTTGACGCAAAGTAAATTTCAGGAGAACACAGACAAATTAATTTTTAATTAATTTTGGATATTTCTTGCAGAATTAAAAATTCACGACAGATGAGAATATCTCTCTTGATATTTTCGCCAAAAGGGCTGATTACAATTTTATCAGAAAGAATTTAGCCATTAAATTTAAAATTATAAACCTCTTAGAGCTTAGAGCATTTAAAATTTTCTGTATTTAATAAAAAATACAAAAGATTTTTTTGCTTGAATCCACGTACTTTCTTCTTACACGATAAAAAAAAAGCTATTCCGTGCATTTGAATTAGCGGCGAAATATTTTTGGGATTTAAAAGAAAGAAGGATTTAGAGAGTAAAATTAAATCGTTTCATACATCAAATCTCTCGTTTCGGAAATATTTGCCCATTATTCTATCCTTGCGAATTCAGATTCATGAATCATTCCCTTTCATCGCGTCTTACGAGGAAAAAAACGTGGCTCTCGGTAATTGTTCGTTTAACACACAAGGACACATTTATTAATTCATTTAAATGAATTTAAAATACCATGCCCCGAGCGCGAAACTTATATGAGGCATTTGCACGTTGCTTTCGTGCTTAGCTGCACACTGAAATATGGATATTTAGCATGCAAAGGTGCCCATTAAATCCCAACGCGCGAAAAATATACTTTCCTAGTATAGATTCAGTAAACAACATACGTTTAGAAGCAAGCGTTACATCGATATAGATATCTATCTTCATACTTCGATGCAATAATGCAACACGCGCTCTTCATTAATTATAACACTTAATTAATATTTGATACTATAATATTTATAATATAAAGTACTCACGCTCAATTACGTTAAACTTTAACTTTATAAAAGCATGCAATATAATTCATTGCTGATCTCGATGTATCGAAAACTCGATGTTACACTTTGTACACATATAGGTATACATCTATCTACGAATATTATAGAATCAATATATATATATAATGCATCAAAAATAAATAATATATATTTACCGTGTCGAAATTAATAGACGAAAGCAAACTAATAATCTTAATTTTATAATCTATCATACACAAATTGAACTTGATATCAATCCTTTACGTTTCAATTTCGAATTTTGAGAAATCAAAATTTTAATGAAAAAAAAAAAAGATTATAACAACACGTATTTGCATGTAACGCGGCGAGGGTGTATTTGTGTTGCACATGTAACATTTACAATGTTCCTCCGGTGTGTACACAAGCTCCACGCGCTTTACAGCCAATTCATATAATATATATGTTGCCATTATACCGCCCACATGGGTTAAATGGATCAAATTTACACGGTTGTTGTTGAGCGAAATTATCGTCTATTCTCCATGCTCGTTACGTATGCCTCGTACCATAGTGAGCATCGTGTTTGCGCTGTCGGTGCTCGTGTTGATCGTTGTCTCCGACGCCGTGCTGGAACCCATAACCACGACTTTCGGCACCGTCCGGCAGCTGCGGCTGCCGCCCGCCGACTTGAAGTTGAACCGCCGTATCGCGGACGAAAGAAGGTCACCGTCTCGTCCGCCGCCGCTGACACCGCCGCCACTGTCAGTCCCATATTGTCCACGCGTTGGCTGCGACTGCGATGTATCCCCTTGATCACACGCGTTACTTCCCAAACTGCCACATCTAGTTGCCGACTCGCGATTCCTCGAGCACCCCTGCAACAGATCCGAGTTTACGGATTCGCGCGCGTGTCTTCTCGCGTATCCATCAAACCTCGGAATTCGATCACTCTCTACGCTGGAAAACGAATTATTTGTTTCTTAAAGAAATTTTTATTTCAATAGTGCCACATTTGTTTGAAACGATTCAATATTTGTCTCTTTTGGATTTCTTATATCAAATAAGTAGGTATTAGTTTCAAACAAATGGGACTACTGAAATAAATATCTATTTGAAAGCAATAGCTTTTTTCAATGATAAAATAAGGCAAAAAAGGAACAGAGTATTAATGGTATTATTAAAATATTAATTTGAAATTAATAGCTTTATTCAGTGATGAAATAAGGCAAGAGAAAAGAACAGGGCACCCTCCATTTCCCTTCCTTTCGATTCGCTTTTAATTCGAATGAAATGATGAAAAAGACGCGTATCCATCAAACCTCGGAATTTGATCACTCTCTATGCTGGAAAACGAATTATTCGTTTCTTAAAGAAATTTTTATTTCAATAGTGCCACATTTGTTTGAAACGATTAAATATTTGTCTCTTTTGGATTTCTTATATCAAGTAAGTAGGTATTAGTTTCAAACAAATGGGACTACTGAAATAAATATCTATTTGAAAGCAATAGCTTTTTTCAATGATAAAATAAAGCAAAAAAGGAACAGAGTATTAATGGTATTATTAAAATATTAATTTGAAATTAATAGCTTTATTCAGTGATGAAATAAGGCAAGAGAAAAGAACAGGGCACCCTCCATTTCTCTTCCTTTCGATTCGCTTTTAATTCGAATGAAATGATGAAAAAGACCGTCTTATTTTTTTTCTTACTTGGGACTTGTGTTCCGGGGTGGACGGTGGATTCGGTGTGTTCGGCAGCGAGCCCCCCGCAGGGGTACAGTGCCGCAGTCGCGCCAGGGCCGTTCGAAGCCCCTCCGTCACGAGGCTCTTTTATTGCTCCCTCGCCACCGCTGCCTCGGTCCACCTTTTTGCGGGTCGCTCCCTTATCCTCGCGGAAGCCGTTTTCTCTTTGCGACCTCTCAGCCGGATGCACCAAGTCCACCCACTGTCGCACGCCGCAGGGATGATGACCCGCGTGGGAGTCGAGAGATTCGCCAACCCTCTGCCACGTGCCGCTGATTGTGCCGCGCGCCGTTTATCAACCCTCGCATTCACCATCGCACACCTGCATCCCGGTATACGCGACCCGACTCGTCGTCCCTTTTACTCGTCCAATGTGTCTTTGATCTATCTAAAGACACAGTTTGGCAGAGCGATCTAATCAATTATCGATTGCAACACTGATTCCCAAGTATGAACATTATTATCGGTCGACAGATTTTAAATGATGAGTAATGAAAATAATTAAAATCAATTTCTGATCTGACTGTTGATTAACACTGAGTATGGGACAGGAGGATCTGACTGTTGTCAGATTTTTTCATTATGATTCATTCGATAAATTCAAGGAATGTCTTTTGAGCAATTATTATGATTTTCATGCAGTTTAGACATATTTATTAAGCACGAATAATATTTTAATGTGTATTGTCTAGAAGTTAGAATTTAGACTCATCGTCCAATGTGTCTTTGATCTATCTAAAGACACAGTTTGGCAGAGCGATCCAATCAATTATCGATCGCAACACTGATTCCCAAGTATGAACATTATTATCGATCGACAGTTTTAATAGTGAGTAATGAAAATAATCATCAATTTTGATCTGACTGTTGTTAAACAGATGGGGGAGGCTTTTTCATTATGATTCGTTCGATAAATTCAAGGAATGTCTTTTGAGCAATTATTATGATTTTCATGCAGTTTAGACATATTTATTAAGCACGAATAATATTTTAATGTGTATTGTCTAGAAGTTAGAATTTAGACTCATCGTCCAATGTGTCTTTGATCTATCTAAAGACACAGTTTGGCAGAGCGATCCAATCAATTATCGATCGCAACACTGATTCCCAAGTATGAACATTATTATCGATCGACAGTTTTAATGGTGAGTAATGAAAATAATCATCAATTTTGATCTAACTGTTGTTAAACAGATGGGGGAGGCTTTTTCATTATGATTCGTTCGATAAATTCAAGGAATGTCTTTTGAGAAATTATTATGATTTTCATGCAGTTTAGACATATTTATTAAGCACGAATAATATTTTAATGTGTATTGTCTAGAAGTTAGAATTTAGACTCGTCGTCCAATGTGTCTTTGATCTATCTAAAGACACAGTTCGGCAGAGCGATCCAATCAATTATCGATCGCAACACTGATTCCCAAGTATGAACATTATTATCGATCGACAGTTTTAATGGTGAGTAATGAAAATAATCATCAATTTTGATCTAACTGTTGTTAAACAGATGGGGGAGGCTTTTTCATTATGATTCATTCGATAAATTCAAGGAATGTCTTTTGAGAAATTATTATGATTTTCATGCAGTTTAGACATATTTATTAAGCACGAATAATATTTTAATGTGTATTGTCTAGAAGTTAGAATTTAGACTCGTCGTCCAATGTGCCTTTGATCTATCTAAAGACACAGTTCGGCAGAGCGATCCAATCAATTATCGATCGCAACACTGATTCCCATAAGTATGAACATTATTATCGGTCGACAGTTTTAATGGTGAGTAATGAAAATAATCATCAATTTTGATCTAACTGTTGTTAAACAGATGGGGGAGGCTTTTTCATTATAATTCATTCGATAAATTCGAGGAATGTCTTTTGAGAAATTATTATGATTTTCATGCAGTTTAGATATATTTATTAATCACGAATAATATTTTAATGTGTATTGTCTAGAAGTTAGAATTTTATATGAAAATAATTTTCTAATGATAACTGTTGTATTTCACGCAATGAAAACACATTTTATCACGCAATATCAATTAAATATATCCAATAAAAATATTTAATAAGGAGAAAAGCCAATAATCACTCTCACATTTGATCATTAATGATTGATCGTTAATAACTACAAATTATAAATGTACCGCATGTGATTAATACTCTCAATAATAATTATTAATAATTACATTAATTATTATTTTATTAATAGATTATGGTTTATACGTACACATTTTAAATAGATATTTGTATATACACAAATATACATTTTATTCGTGAACGATATACTATGAGAAGCTAGAAATTCTAGAAATATATTTTATTCATATACGAAATATTGATCGACAAGTTAATAAATTATTAATCACAGAAATGATTACATACTTGTCTGAACATGAAAAAAATAGTATAACAGAAATTACAATATAATTTTTGTAATCATAAAACATACTAACGTACACAAGAGAACTCTTTTGATATTTTTATATTCAATAATATCATATATTACGTTTTATATTTTACAAAGAAGTATTATAACCATTCAAACATTTTAATGCATCAACGAATGAATAAAAATAAATATTAATAAACAATCAAATAAATGCATAATTTATGCAATTTTTCTAGTAACAAATATTTGAAATGTCGCTTTATTCCAACTTTACAATAAATGTTGCGAAAGGCAAAGGAATTTTTTAAATGTAATTTATACTGTAAAATTTTACTCCGTGAAGGGCGCTCCGATTAAGCTGTAGAATGATAACGATTTCTGTCTGCGTTTCTCGAGCCTTGAGCGAGCATTCGAAACGCGTGCGACCGGCGAATATTGAAATCCACGCTGTCTGCCGCCTGCACGAAATTCAGGAATTCTTGCAATATTCGCACTTCGAGTCCGGTAAACGCTAAAGTTCCCAGGTTCGACGCGAGACAACTGTGAGCTGTCGTGTGGCAATTTTCATTGCAGATTCACATCAGTCACCGTACACGCGATTCGACGTGTCGTTACTACTTACCATATCGGAAACAAACTGTTGAAAAAATTTTCTATTAACAATCTCGCGCAATGATGTGCCGCGGATAAAATAAACATTCAAGTCGCGTGTACAGCGAGTAGTAATTTAAATTCGATCGATTACAGACTATAATTCACCGAGATTTCTTTCCGCGAAATTCCGTCTTGTCTCACGAAAAGCGTTGAATCAATAATACCTTATCATGTTATTTTTAATTCTTTAGGATATTTAATTTTAAAAATGTCACGTAATAATTAGTGTTCGTTAATTAAAGTTATCAGTAAAGTTTGAATAAATGAAAGAATTCACCTAATAATTCATAGAGTCGTCCTTCACGTAACTATAATTAAAAATATTCTTCAAATATTTGTAAAATGTTATTACTATTTATTAATAAAATTTTAAAAGTCTTCTTTAATTATGCCTCTCTCAACAATTATTCTTGCATTTATAGAACTCTCTAATCAAATAAATATGACTCGTAGAATAAAAAAGCTTTATCATTTGTAATTTGTTTTTTAAGAAATAGTATATATTTTTTATGATTTAGATAAGTAAAATAATTCAAAATTGGTCATCAAACTTTAATCGAAACAAATTACGAAATAAAAAGAACTTATTAGTTATAGTATTTTGAAGAATATATCATTTTCTAATCAATATAAATCTGATAAACAAAACAAATTAAAGTCAACTTGCACTGAGTTTGGGACGCTATATAGTTTGCAAATTATTACGTAAATTTTCCCAATTACCTTACATATCATCCATCAATCTCTTCGATATACACGTAGGTGCGTTACTTTGTCGCAAAACACTCTTGTGATGTCGAAACATCGTCACTCCCTTCGTCCCTCGTCGGACTTTCGTAAAATTCCTGTAAGAGGAACACAAAGGGATCAAGTCAGACGAGGCGAAACGAGGAGACAAATAAGAGGAGACAAAGTGGAACGTGCTTTGTGCCTTATTTTTACGAGTCTTCGTTTGCGATCACGAGTCTGTTTTCTATCCTAATTTCGATTCCCTTCCCTTCTTAGAAATTTACGGGACATCTGACGCATAAAATTCTCTCGAGAGGAGACGAAATCGCGCGCCAAGCGATGACGCGTGGGTCACTTGGAAAAAAATTGCACTCGTAAATCAGGAAGTGATAGAAGGCGTATTACGCCCATAAATTCCAGGAAGAGACATAAATGTTAATCCTCTATTGAGAATTGAAGGCACAGGTTTTCGCAAATTTAGATTCAATATAAAATAGAATGCGCCCTAGTTTTTTGCAAAATAAACTCATTTATTATGATATTTTTTCATCGAATTTTTTGTATCTCTCTCGTGTTGATATAACATCTCGTTTATATTCGTTTTCAAAAATTTAACAAGGAAGCGGTGCGTAAAAGCAAATATTTCGCAGTCGTATATTAAGATAGAACTGACACAGTGATTTGCAATAATTCCGCACATATATTTTTGCAAAAGCTCCAAACATGCGGAAAATATAAATTTACAAAAATAAATATATATGTTCTTTAAACTTTGTGCTGTGCGAACAATAAAGATTAGTTATTGCGTTAAAAATATTGGCGGCATCGAAAGAAAAACAAAATGCCCGATATTTCGTTCGCAACAATATATACGAAAACCACTTTGCGCGAAGTTTCAAAATGGATAGAGGTAATTACGGTGGCTATTGTTTTATATAAAAGCTTTTATTGTCGATGAAATAGCGAATCGTTTATTGTTCAAAATCGCGCAAAAAGAACGATGTTTAATCGTAAAACGTCCGCTTCAATTCGTCACCGCGAATTCTGTTCCGGCCCGAATCGTCGAAATTATTTCGCGGACCGCACAAAGATTTAACTCTCTCGTGTTAACTATTTTATCGAGTTAACGAGCCGCGTTGATATTCGCTTTGTATATCTATCAAGTCTATATTGAAAACGCGTTGACGCGCACAGAGCTAGTGCGGAAATATTTTCAGTGCCATTTGTCATATGAACGGTGAATTAGCTTTTCCAGATATTGCGCTCATATATATATATATATATATATATATATGTATATATGTATGTACAGGCACACATGTATTCACACAATCACACCCTTGCATCCGACGATGAGCCGAGTCCGAGTAAACGCATCGATTAATTACAGCACGGTCGCTTGTTTCTCTCAACGTTTCCTCCGGGAATGACGGTTTCTCGTTACACTAAGCTGCCTTTTACGCACCTTTAATTAATCCGTGAAAGCCGAAAAGTGAAATTATCGAACGAAAAGAATACAACATACGCCAATTATATTTTATAATAATACTATATGCAAGTAATGCATATAGATATTTCGATACATTAATTATACAAAATTAACTTCAATTGATTAAAAGGATTGTAAATGTACAAAAAAACTTGCTCGCAGAAACGCTGCGCTAAAATTTCAATATTATAAAATTTGCTAATATTGAAATAGCATATACATGTGTAAACTTTTACATTTGCATTTTGCTAAAATTTATAAACTTTTGAAATTAATACGCGAAAAAAGCAATACTCTCAATATTCTCAAATGCAATTTTAGATTATTATTGCAAAGATTTCATATTAAAAATAATAACAGTAATATAATATATAAGATGGGATTTTTAATCGCTTTCTTATGTCAAATTAGTGTATCACTATATATATAAAAATCGCTGACAATTTATATTAATAAAGCGATATTTCTCAATAATAAGATTTAATCGTTTACTTGTGATTTTTACACTAATTACTCATCGGAAGCGCAATCATAAATTTTTAATGAATTTCTAACGATTATTAATCTTTATGAGCTATTAAATCTTTGACGGTAATTAATAAACGTTGAAGAACGATGTCGATTATTTTCGAAAATATTCGCAAGATCGGGTTTTATTCCACTTTTCATCCCGATCGAGGGATGATAATTATTTCAAAGTCCGAACTTTCTATGAAAGCAGCGCGATATAAAATACCGTTAACCACGAGTGATTTCGGCACTTGTAGATATTTGATTGTATTTTGGAGCCTGTTGATCAAATGGATCTCGATAAGCGACGGCTTACTCGTCGGAAGAGGTACGATCCATTTTTCAAATGTGAACTTCCTACGTTCGAGCGCTCTCGTGGCGCTCTGATTTCGCCGGATGGCAAACGTGCACGAGGGCACGTCGCACGTGACAAATCTGGCTATTAACTTCCGTAGGTGGCGACGATTAATTGGCAGATTAATATCGGGGCAGCCGATCGTTCTCGCGACGAAAATTACGTCACGGCAGGACATTATTTCGCAAATCTCGGAGCCGCGCGGATGATGGAATCGATTAACTTTGCAGGAGAGCTTAACTAGACATTGTGTACTATATACATATATACGTTGTTACATGATAACGGAATTAGAACAAATTCATTACGTTTTAATTAACTTTCTATTAATAAAATTTATGCAACTCTAATTATGAATGTTGGTTATGGACGCACACACTTATCAATGTGACAAATCAATATGCTAATCACGAAGGCATTCATTATATTAAAAGCCTGCGATGTATAATTGACGTGACATTTGCAATCATTAAATTATTTTGCGAGTTGTGACTAAAAAATGTCGAAACAAATTTCAATTTTATTTTTATGGACATGGAAACGTCTTTTAGAATTTGCAAATCAATTTCTAGAGCTTTTATGTACAGTAAACGAAGATTTTTATATGATTTTCAAGCGTTTGAAAAATCTGTTTTAAATGTCAACTTAAAAATATATAATACATTTAAAATAAGAAAAAGTATATAACATAATAAAATATATAAAAATTATTAGAAAAGAGAGTGAGAATAAATATTTACATTAAATATATAAACACATATAATTCACGAAAATTAAATTAGAACCTTCCTTCATAAATATTTTGAAAATAAAATATTTTAATAAAAATTTATCAAACTTATTTCTCCAAAGTAAATCTAACTAAAATATTAAAATTTACATAGAGAATTAAATAGCTAAACATTGACATTTAAATATTAAATATTGATGAAAAAAAATGTATTTTCTTGAGTATTACGTGGAACATCGATGTCTGTTGATTTTTTTATAATAATAATAATTATTATTATTATTAAATAGTCGGAACGATTTGACAGTAGTCGGGACCTATTTATATATATATATTGCATATCGATAAATCCGCTATACTAGTGGAGGGCAACAACGGGGTTGAGGATACGATGTGGGAGAGAGGTTACGACGACGAACACGGGTGAAAGGGAAGAGAGAGGTTGGGGTGATGGAGGACTAGATACGAGGGACCGTAGGCCGATCGACCTGGTTAACCTACATAGAAGGAGAGACCGAAAGGGAGAGAAGAGAGGTGCTTCTCTCTCTCTCTGTCTTCGTTCCTGGCCGTTCGGCGTTCTCGCGTTACAAAGAAAAAACTTTATCCGATTCTCTCTCGGCCTGTTTTCTCCGCAATCTCTATCTATCTCTCTTTATCGGCCAGGTGGAAAACTCGGCGCATGTCGGCGCCGTCGACTTGGATGGTCAGGTGCTTCCGCTAGGTTGAACCGAGGCGATCCTCGCGAAGAGAAGTGTGATGGTGTTCGAGCGAGATGATTGGCAGCGAGGAAAAAACCAAGACTTTTTGTAATACGATGTGTCGTGGGGATTGAGATTGCTACAGGTTCGACGTGCTCAGATCGTGACGCTGGAAGCTCACAATCAGTGAAAACGATCCCTATTTGTTGTAATACAACGATATTGGGATTCGGATTTTCTTTTTTTTTTTTTTTTTTTCGTTTTTTATAGCACAAAAACTAAATTTATGGAAATCCCGTCGGTTTTAAATCCTCGTTTTGGATACGTAAACGCTACTGTGTATCACGTTGAGCCATATGCATGCAATGTGGATGATAACGCGAATCTCAAGTTACTGTGTCAACAGCGCGAATTAAATAAGCTTAGCTTACAATTAGTAATTTGCTGTACTTTATTAGATTACAGCGTTACCTTTAATGTGGAAAGAGAAAGAGAAAATTTACTTAGCCAACTTTAATTTTGAGTGACACTGATATAACCGCCTTTAGAACCCGTATCTGTGCACATTAGTGAAAGTTAAGTGAAGGGATTTAGTGGCGTAAGTAGAATAAGTCAATAATTCGTCGGGCTCACTTTATAGATATCGAATTTATATTGAATCCCTTGCAATTTTATACTTATAGTCCGTCATTCCATTGAGTCCCTCCAACTTTTTAATTTAACCCCTTTTACCTCCTTTCTCTTTCGAGAAGAGGCTTTAACTTCCAACTGTATCAAACTTCAATTTATAATAGTGTGCTAAAAGTTGCCGTGATATTGGCTCGTAATTATTTTGTAACTCCAGACATTTGAATGTTAACGTTTACCTAGCACGTACATCAAATATAAATGTACGTATATGCATATTGCAAAAAAACTATCCTATATTAATTGATCACTCGCTGAAACGCAACAACATGCGCGTTTCCGTGAGTCGGTGATTTCGTTACCATCGAAACGGGTCGCGGCTCCGATGCTTTTATACGGTTCGATTCTTCCGATGGATGGACGATCGTTACAACGACCTATCCCATTCTCGCTCGCCTATCAGCGCCCAAACGTAAATACAACTCCGATAATTTATCGTTATAATGGCACGAACCTTTTTCGAACACCACAATCATTCCCATTTTAAGGACGTTAGAGACATACATATACTTAATAAAAATAAATGAAATGTAAATAAAATCAAAATGCATGAGTTTTACAATTTAGCGTATTTTTTAAACGATCTATTCGATTAAATCGGTTCATTGGTCTGGTTCTCAGCTTTTCGCCCTCTTTTCTCTCTCTTTCTCTCTCTTTATTCCGATTCCCCATTTACGTTTCTCAATTGTACTCGTTTTACGTCTATAAACAAATTAGGTTTACGTGTCTATGGTTTCAAGAAATCTATAAATCACGCAATGGAAACTTGCAAGATTATTACTGTCAATGTTAAATATAACGTTATGTTTTTTTTGTCTTCCTTTTAAATTGCGCAGTTGATATTTTTGCCGCGAAGTAGAATAAGAAAAGGCTGACACTTTGAAAGCATTCAAATACTTCGCTGAGAGGTTCTCGTATTAGAAGAGTTATAAAGTATCATATCTTGAATCGAGTGCGGAATTTAATTGACCCATATCGTGTGTCAACTAATACACGAAATGTATTTTAAAAAGACTAGAGCTATTTATTTTTTCGAAAAATGTGTAACATATGAGTGTATAATTCGTTTCCTGGAAATTTATTTTTTGCAAAGTGAAATGTTTCCACAATTGTTTCCTGACAATTGTTATAAATATTTTAATCAAAATTTGAAAATATTAAAAGGTCAAAATATAACCATGTTTTTGCGAACATCTCATGACAATTTTAACATGCGTATAACTGCGGGAGAATTCTACAGCAACATTAAAATAAATACATTTATATTGGTTAACATTGTTCATATAATCTGTTTACAATTGCAAATCATTCTTTTGATTTGCACGATATGTATTCGTAAAAACAGATAATTTTAAACAACGAGATTACATTTTACAACTTTTAAAAATAACAAGTAAAATTTTAAATCGTGGAACATATCATTTCACGATCCTTTCATCCTAGTTTTACTTTTATAGGACATCTTGAATATTGTTACAGACATCACTTCAATTATTATTATTGTTATTTATTATTATTACCATTCTACGTTTCTCTGTCACATATGTACGTTCAAGTACCAGAATTTAATAGTTCAAATATTTTGAATTCCCAAATGTACACTCTTGTTACTAATTAATTTAAATTATAGGGGTTGCGCTACTTCGGACTGTTGTAACATAGTTTGCAGTTCAAACACATAATCGCGTCGCGACAAGAGAATACAAACATAAAAGACAGGCATCTCTCGTATTAGAGAAGAATATCTATTAGAGAATCAAGAGATAGGATTGTGTAAGAGAGATATTTATCGCTCAGGGCAACAGAGGCGATGGGAATATTATTATGCTGCGCGAAGCGCGTGCAGAGTCCTTTTCGACCCTTCAAACAGAAATGCATTGCATATAAATTGGACGTCAAATGCGTTAGCACTAAAGTACAATTGAGAAACGTAAATGGGGAATCGGAATAAAGAGAGAGAAAGAGGGCGAAAAGCTGAGAACCAGACCAATGAACCGATTTAATCGAATAGATCGTTTAAAAAATACGCTAAATTGTAAAACTCATGCATTTTGATTTTATTTACATTTCATTTATTTTTATTAAGTATATGTATGTCTCTAATTCCCTTAAAATGGAAATGATTGTGGTGTTCGATTAAATTAACCTTTCCATTGTGTTCACGTTTCTATTTAGATATTTACGCTCATTCAAACGGTATGTATAATTTTTGATTAAGCATTGCGTGTGTATTGTGAGAAATTTTGTGCAAAATTAAAAAAATAGAATCTCTTCTTCCAATATTTATTTAAAACGGATATACGTCCCTGCGGAAACCACTTTAAAATAAAATTATTTAATTAGATATTTATGCTACCAGAGAAACACGTACATACATATATACATACATTAAATAGTATACAAAGTTTCCATCGATACTCTCTGAAATTAAATGAAAAATCAATTAATGAAAATAATTATAACATCGGAGTAAAACGACACCGCAACATTTTCCAATTATATATGACTGATTCTCTAATAATTATTTAACACACAAATTTCGTTAAAACTCTCAAACAAATAACTATTCCTCTCTGCATAAATTCATTATATTCATTAATTAAAGATTTATCGTTAGAAAATATTTTCGTGTCAGTTTGAAAATTAAAATGACTTTTGATCTAGCGCTCCCTTCGAAACGATCTATTCGGCGCACCGAGAGAACGAAATTTACGATTCGATTTTTCCATTCTTGCCTCGTGCAATTCTTAAGTGGACGAAGAATCACGTTACAACCCACTCGTCCAAGTGCGCATCCAAGTTCGCAGGTTCGATTCTCCAAGTTCGACTCTCGGGAAAACGCGAACGTCGGACACTCTCCGGATACGTTGAACACGTACAATACGTTTATACGAAACGGCATCTTTGTCTCGAAACTCGGAAGAAATTGTACATCCAATCCGAGTTTCTAGAGATCTAGAGAAACTGGAGGGAGGAAATGATCGCGAAACGAAGCTAAAACTCGGCTTCGTCGAGAATCTCCCTCTTTCTCTTTCTCTCTCGAGGCACGTTTCGCATCGCCCCGACCTACATTCGATCGGCCACCGTGTTCAACAACAAGCTGCTCTCACGCGGTTAGTAACCGGGAATGTAACCGCGGTGAGATCAATTTTCGAAGGCTTTGGATTTTAGCTCTGGAAATCCGTTTCGTAATCCGATTGTCGCGAATAAGCATTAAAATTGTTTCATTGCCTTTAGCTTCGCGAAAAACCGTCCGAGATAATGGAGCCAAAGATAGAAATGTGTGGGATATTTTTTTATTTAATTCATCATTGCATTTGAACTCGATTTTTACCATTAGTCTCGAGAGGAATGGTCCACATAATGCTTTTATACAATTTACATCTACATTACTAACAATGTAATTGGTATACTGACAAAAAATTATTGAATTTGATATATAAAAAAAATCCTTTTCAAAACAGATCAATATTTATTTGTTTCAAATAAATGATTGATCGGGTAGTATTGAAATAGATATTTATTAATTTAATACTTTTGTTTCAATGTATAATAATGAAGATAGATAACGCGACGCGTACATACATGTACATAAAAAAATGGTACATAAACTTTTCTCAGAAGATTAACTTGAATCCCTTGAATTCCCTCTTATATACATATTCCTACCTGTTTCGCTCCTGTTGGTAGCAAAAAACGCGTCGGTCCGTCACTCGCAGCGAGAAACGTCATTCGCATATCAGCATGCTGCGATGCACCCCTCGACGCACGAACGTCGGTGCACCGACCGGTTCATCGCGACGCGGTCACGAGGGGCGAGAATCCGCGAGGTGTCGTGTCGCGGCGAGAAAAGCGCGCTGACCCGTTCGAGCCTCTTGGAGCGCGCATAAAAAAATAACAACCCCTTATATCACCCTCACGCCGAAATAAGAAGAACGTATCGGTTCTCGTCACGCTCGTCCTGCGTTCCCTCGTCGAAGATTTCCAGCTGGACGCGCGCGGAAATCCCGAGGGAAATCTATCGAGATTTCACAGATACGTCTGACAGATACACAGCTGACAGATCTCGAGGAAGAGTGACGAGACGCGAGACGATGCTCCGAGTTCTCTCGCGACGTTCGCGAGAAGTGCTAACGATATAAAGCATTCACACTTGCACGCACACACACACATATACACATATACGTGTTGCATACACGTGTTACACGCGCATGCACATGCACGAGGCGTATCGCAACACCCTTATTAATAAGGGATGTAAACACGCGATCGGTCGCGCGCCGCGGTTTTGCACGCAAATACCTAAGGCTTTTCCCAAAAACCGGGGGTTGACAGAATGAGAGAAGAAGGAGAGACAGAGACAGAGAGGGAAAGAGAGAGACAGAGAGCACCACCCGCTCTCGCGCCCCACGTATGACTGTCGCATCGCGGTACAACAGCAGCAACGAGAACGATGCGCAGGAGCGTGCAAACGCCTGCGCTTCACCTTCTCCACCACCTTCTGCTCCTCCTTCTCGTCTTTCGTCTTCCTCCTCGCGTTCAAGTTAAATCCCGCTGTTGTTGTTGCTCTGCCTCTCCACCTGTCTTTCTCCCTATTTCTCTCTCTCTCTCTCTCTTTAGTTCGTGAATCCTCCATCGGTCGATTCGCCGTTTCGATTTTGCGTCCTAATATCTCGTGGCGACATAAGGGGTGATCGTGATACGCATTCGAGGGAGAGAAAGAGGGGATGAAAACGGTATAGGGTAGACGGAGATGGATTTCGGCGTCCTACATTGAACCTTCTTAACGAAGAGTAGAGAGACAGTGGAGTTGATTTCGACGTTCCACTTTAACTTTAGAAAAGGAGAAGATATGAGAGACGAGACCTCCGTTGTATATTTTTCGACGTCTTATACATGTGATTTTTTTTTTATTTGCTCCAGAGTTGAAGAAAGCTGTTGGATAAAAATAATTAAAGATTTAATCTTTTAACATATTCATTATTTTTAATTATAACACAATTATTCACGCACGCGATATCGCTTGGAAGAGCGATGTTACTTTAGAATTTCGAAAATATAGATTGCTCAAAGTATATTAGCCTTAAGAATTGTGTTTGAAACTCTTGAGAATTAATTTTGATTCTCAATCAGATTGCTCTTTTATTCGTAATAATTATCTCTTTTGAGACATTCTGACTCGAATCCGTGTTAAAATTTATGGAATTATGTCAGACAAGTCGAAAATCTCAAATTTATAGAAAAATATATTTGAAACGTATATTCTGAAACTTTTTGATTAAAAAAGAAGTTTTAAAAGGACTAGTATCAGATATTTTTAAACATATATATAGAGATATTATAATTTGTTATCTCAAAATTATCTCAAAATTAAATGTATTAAATTTCTGTCTTTTATTATCAACACCAATTTTTTTGTATTTTATCAGAAACTCTAGTATTTACCGAAAAAATTAAACAAGCTCTTCAGAACTATGTGATTTTAATGTGTAAAGTTAACATTCTTATGTTTAAAATGTCAATATTGTGCTGAGACTTTTTTCATCGGTGCTATTTCTGAAAATGTCGAAAAGAATTTGAAGCTTTAATTACTATTATCAAATTTTCAATTTTATAAATTGCCAATTTTATGTGCCTTCGATAGTGTCGAAATTATTGAGAAAATAAATCTTAGGGGGATTTAATAAGAGATATTTCCTTTTCACAAAGAAATATTTCCTATTATATGCTATATGGCAGTAGTAAAGATTAAAGTAGATATATCAACTTGCTATTAAACCTCCATCACACACGTTAACATTATCTAATATTACGATCGTAAGTAAAATTTTGTTAGGGTTAGAGAAGTAAAAACAAGCAAAAATAATGATATATTGTTTAAATATATTGTAGTTTAAAAAATTATGAAGTATGTATCTTTCCAAGGAAACTTATCTTCTCAAGAAACATATTCCAGTAAAGATAAAATTTTAATACGATTGATTGTTATCGGTAAATTTTTTTTAATATAACAAATATTCCTTAGTATAGCATTTTTCTTCTGAAAACAGTGAATTTGAAAAAAAAAAACTCGCACACGCGCAGCATATTTAAGTGCCGGGATGTAAATGTAAACTACTCGTATATGATTATCATCGACAGCAAAATTTTAGGTAAAAATAGCTGACCGAAACTCTGAACAAGCTTCTTTAATTAAATCGTGAAATGAAAATGTACATGAAAATATGGGACATAACATAAAGTGCGTATTTTATTATTTGGCATATTTATATGTATACGTATAATATGCATGCGTGCGTGACTGTAGAAGGGAAAAATCCAACATCACGAAAGAACGTGAATATTTTATATGTATGTTTAAACGGATTGTAGGTCAACGATGTGAATTGGCGTAAAATTACGTAAGAAAAAAAATCAGTTGGAAAATGGCGTTTGTTCTGAAAAATTTACTAACACTTGACGTGATTTATGAATTAATATCACAAACAAAAATGAAAAAGATACGTCGCGCTACACGTCTTTCGACAATGCCTTTTTGACAATTATTAAAGGTATTCTTCCTTGAAGTAGAATTTATTTTGCCAGGTTAACCGTAAGAGAGACGATTTGTTCCTTTTACATTTTACGAAAGCCTTCGCGAAAGTCATCCAAATATCTGTGAGTGCGCAATATTTTCTCCCTTCAATATTTTCTATGTAGATATATATCCTAAGATGACATTTATATGTACCTGTACTGGTTTTCTCCACAGTTACATGTAATGTGTGCGCGTCACAAAAAAACCACTGCATAAATAACGAATTTATTCATAAAAAAATGCCAATATAATGAATGTTATTCTCGTAAAGATATTCCATTCGTTTTAGTTATGTGTTGTCACGATATTTTATGTACAAAATCATTATTTCTCTCATATAATATACATATATGTATATTATATTTCTCTCTGTATAGATATAATATAATGACTATCGCGAATAATCGATTATTAAATGTAATTAATTTAGTACAAATAGTTATATATATATATATATATATATATATATATATATATATATATATAAGTAATCAAACATAACGACACTGGAAAATGTGTCTTTAATACTGTTGTCAATTTAATATAATTTCTCCTTTGTCCATCGATCTTTTGAACTTTCTGCTTGCAAACGCTCGGCGCTTGCTAAATCTGCCTACTCTCTGATGACATTGCTTTGTCCTAGTATCGTGTGCCGTATAATGTCCGGAGTATTAGATACTATTATGTCTCTCTGAGGGATTCTTAACATCGACCGCGTATAATTACCCGGCGGATCGATAAGCCGCCGATATATTCCTCCTTTCGCGCACGCGACCCCTTATTTTTTTCCGCGTGCCGGTCAAGCTTTATATACACGCGTCACACACGTATGGCAAAATACGATCGACTGGTGACTGGTTAATTAAGCGGCTCTCCTTTCTCATCGAGACTATACACAAGCTTAATATAAGCTTAATATATACATATATACATATATATCGATGAAGGTGCGCAGAAAGCTCTCTCAAGTCTTCTCTTGTCGCCTTAGGGCAACGGATTGTGTCTCTCAATACCGGTATATGCTTACAACAGTATTTTCTCCGCGACGTAATATCCAATTACCTTGGATTTACCTTCTCGAGATTCAACGATCACGTCCTGAGTTATCCGTAGAATTGCGCTTTCTCTGCAAGGGGAATTATTTCAACCCCCGGTATTCCCGTTACGTTTCCGACTTGTCGATGGAACAGCTAGGCTAGAATCGACTTCGAAAGTGCTCGTGTTTGTACGGACCGCAATCGATAAGACTAACTCGGAATTTTCGCGAAACTGATTAATATCCTTGGAATATATATGGGTTTAATAATAGAATAGATTAAACGGATCACGGCGCGCGTATAGTTTCTAAAGTTAATAAATGATCGATGTCCAGAGTTATTAGTCAGAGCAGCCTGGGATGAAATATTTTATAAAACAACACATTTTTTTTAAGACACTTGAAATACAAAAAATGAACACGTGAAGGAAATAAATAAATGAAAAAAAGGAAAAAAGAAAGCAAATTACATTATTTATACGACAAGCAAATATTAATAAATTATTCAGATTTCAAGAATATTATTGTTCACATTAATAGAATAATAGTAAACTACAACATATTTAATAATATATCACAATCGATTATCCCAAAGTATTAGCGTTAATAGAATACGGCGAAAAAAGGGAGAAAATTCGGAGATGTATCGTTCAATCATTAGAAAATTAGTGTATAGTTCACGTACGCTCCCTCGAAGGTTAATTGCCTTTGTTGCTCGAGCGACGACTTAATGGCTCGCGATCGTCTCGATCGGTTCGAAGCACAGTATTCCTCTCGTAAGAGGAAGTTTTGCTGCGTTAGCAGCAAATTATTGAGCTTCGCCGGCAAACACTCGCGACGTTTGCGCAGATGCAGGATGTCTTACCGAGCGCGAGAGGGCTTGTGCCGTTCACCCCGTGACGGTTCTGCCCTACATCGGGGGCTGTTTTGATCCGCCGCTCGATGCATCGAAAAATACGCGTCAACTCGTGAAATGCATGCGTGACCCATATTTAATCCTTAAATACAAAAAAATGAGAAATTGGAAAAAATGTTCTTTATATTATCAGAAACGTCGTCAGATTCTTGATTTATTTTCTTGTCGTCTTTGTTAAAATATGATGCATGATTTTTAATCTTAATATTATTAATTTAAACGTATACACAAAAAATACGCGTCAACTCGTAAATACATGCGTGACCCATATTTAATCCTTATATACAAAAAAATGTGAAATTGGAAAAAATGTTCTTTATATTATCAGAAACGTCGTCAGATTCTTGATTTATTTTCTTGTCGTCTTTGTTAAAATATGATGCATGATTTTTAATCTTAATATTATTAATTTAAACGTATACACAAAAAATACGCGTCAACTCGTAAATACATACGTGACACATATTTAATCCTTAAATACAAAAAAATGAGAAATTGGAAAAATGTTCTTTATATTATCAGAAACGTCGTCAGATTCTTGATTTATTTTCTTGTCGTCCTTGTTAAAATATGATGCGTAATTTTTAATCTTAATATTATTAATTTAAACGTATACACAAAAAATACGCGTCAACTCGTAAATGCTAACGTGACCCATATTTAATAGTAAAATACAAAAAGAATGAGAAATTGAAAAAAAATGTTCTTTATATAATATTATATCAGAATATTATATCAGAATATTATATCAGAATATTATATCAGAATATTATATCATCAGATTTCTTGATTTATTTTCTTGTCGTTCTTGATAAAATATGCGTATCTTTTAATCTTAATATCAATTTAAACGTATACACAAAAATGATTATATATGAATATATATATATATACAT